AGGGTGCCCCGGCGGAGGGGAGAGCGCTGGCCGCGGTGGGGTAGGCCGTGGTGCCTGGTGGCGTTTTCCCCCTAGTCCGGTAGGCCTGATTACATCCTTGACCATAGGGATTTCCGAGCTGGGACAGGAAAACGGGTGGGAGAGGATCACAGTGGGCTTCGTGAGTGCTAGGTCTTGCTTAAAGTTTGAGGGGTTTTTCTGCATCCACCACTGCCATGTCGGCATCTTACTTGGTGCTGAGTGGAGCCGCATGTTAAGTGATTCCGCATATACTGATGCTTAAATGATCCTCTTACCTATTCAGGGACTGGTTGGACTCGTCTTCTAAATGGGGACCGTGTGTCCTCTTCACAGCAGACTCGGCACTATCTTGTCCGGATTATTGAGGTGGCAGATGCAGAGTGACGGGTAGCATGCTTGTGTTTACAGTAATGGCAGGTGGGGTCTTTAAATTTTTTTTTGAGGATTTTGTTAAGATATTCTAGGAAGAAAAGGATGGGGAAGAAAATGAGGAAACACATTATGAGTTTAGGAGACACAAGAAACTTAGTATTCTGCAGATACTGAAAGCTTAACAGGAAAGTTACACTTTCAGAATCTGGTCTGTTGCACTGTCGCTCATTTTACCTGGCTGAATGCTCTGACCACCTTGCCTGTTGGTTTGCTTTACAAAGCAGTGTAGTAAAACAGATTATAGACTTCATATTTGAAAACACAGTGCCCTTCTGAAACTAGTGCATTCCGAGAGTTTCCACGCTCACCGTGGGGTCATCAATAAATGCAAAATAGGTGTTTGTAAACTCACATCATTGCTTTCTAGTAACTTCCCTGTGAATAAAAGCCTTCAAAGAGATTTGGAGCAAGGGCTGAAACATATTTCTTAGCCTCTGACAATTTCCTGTGTAATAAGCCACCTTTGTAAACAGTCTCTGATGTGTATCGTTGAAATAAAGAAGTTGTCTTTAAAATGTCTCTGGGTATTTAATTAGACAATCATACATTTCCAAAATATTGTACCGATGTGCTTATGCAGCTTAATTTCACCAACAGACATTAAATATTTATATTAATATTCAGTGATGTACTTGTAAAAAGAACAGCAGTATTGGAGGGGAGTGAAAGGATTTTTTGTGCTCTTTATTACACAAGCACACATCTTGATAGGGATGCTCTCCTTAACCTTTTATCTATGGACAAAAACATAAAAGGTTTGCACTTTCAGCTGTAAATGACTTCCAGTTTTCTAGGTCACCTGGGCAAGTTTTCCTTTAGCTGGTGCTGTCTGTCAGTACTGTCCTGTCAGGGATGCTGCTGTTATCAGCTGAAGAAGTTTTTGACGTGCACTATATACATCTTAATTAGTGTTTACCTGCAACTGGCCTACTCTAAGTTAGTCTCAGTGAGTATAGTAAACATGTGCTAATATATATTGAAATGTTACTAGCTAGTTAACAGTTAAACCTCCTGTCAGATCCTGAAGATTTCTTTGCTATTTTGTAGAAAGAAGCAGGTATCTTTGCCTACATTATGGAAAGCCATTTTTTGCCCCTTTTTTATAGGAGGAGAGAGGTATAACTTGTATATTAATTTAAAAATCCAGACTAATATTTAAAATTACTGTTCAATGATGGTAAGCAACCAAGGTGGAAAATGTAAGAAATGAATGTATTAATACTGAATATAAGACTAAAGCTTGTATATAATTAATCGTACAATGAAGAAAAACATTATATAATTTTAAACAGGAACTAAGACTGTATACTTTAAAACTATTTGCTTGGTTTTCCTTTAAAATAGGAGGAAGGTAATGTAAACTTCACAGTGTGATGTGTGCTACTACTGATACACTTTTATAAAGGATTTTAGGTGCTTGGCAAAAGATTTTTCTTTTTTCTTACTTTGAAACTTAAAAGCAATAAATCTGTTAGAATTTCCTTGCAGTGTAGACTGATTGAGTGTGATACATGTGGAAACTGTTTATGTTGGTAGTTACTGGGTTGAATTAATAACTCTTTCTTACCACAGTCTATAGTACTGATGTTTCAGAAAAAAACATAGTTATGATCTTGCTCTGTATTTTTCTGTATATTTATTAAAAACATTTCAGTGTATTCATGGTAAAACAATATACGAGATAATACAGGAAATACAAAACCTGTACAACTCAGGTTATAGAAATTTGAAAGTTTATGAGAGTGTGCTGAAGACAGTGATAACCTGACTGTGAAATTCAGGAGTTTCTTAGCATGCATGGTCTTGAGCTGTGCGCAGGCCCATGTGAAGTGACATGGCCCTGTGTGGCTATACCCCTTCTAACCCTGTGGGCTCAAATGACTGCACTGACCTTCACCTGCAAGGTTAGTAATCCCCTATAGTTATGTCTACAGAAGATTCATAATCTTATAACATGTCTGAATTATGATACTAATGTGCTACATTTTGTCCTTAGTCATCTTTCCTATTGAAGTTTTATGCCAAGGTAACTAGTGCATCTTTTAAAATTATTTATGTCCTCTGTTATTTTTGTTTTGGTTTTATAGGCTATAGTTAGTCTTTATATTTGGAGGATATTTTTAGTCAAGTCTCTGTTTGCAAACATACTAGAATTACCAGCTTGTCAAGAAGAAGTGGATTTTAGCTTATCTAGAAAGAGTATTTTTCTGTGTCCTAGGGTAACACTTTTTTGGCAGTCAAAAAAAAAAAGTTAATTAAAAGCAGCGTACAGATTTTCAGATTTTACTCCACTTTGCTGAAGATTTAAAATGGGCAATCATTTGTTTTGAGTCAGAATATACACAATTATAGATGGAAAATCTATTTAAATTCTTGAGTTTTTCATGTATGTCATAGGTCTTAATTATATTTGTCATTTCACTGGCATGTATAATACTTGCTGTTGTTTTTCTAATTTAACATAAATAATCTAAAAAATACAGTCCTTTCTCTGCACTGTATTTTGTAAAATACCAGATTAACTTTATTAGATTTTCTGCTGCACTGATGCTCTTTTCATAGCTATTTGCGAACTCAGTTACTGGAGCACAGCAGATGAAAAGACTTTGGGAGAAAAATCCTGATAATCCAAGTAGTAAAAACAAATTTTTATGGTGTTCTGCAGTCAGTGAGGAATTAAACTAAAATTTAGAAACTAAATCCTATTTTTCATTACATGAAGAATGGCTCTTTCCAGGTAAAATTTCTATGGAGTGCATTCAGTGGCAATAAAAATACTTGTTTTTTTTCCCAGCAGTAGGTTATCTGTGACAGATGGCTTTGGATAAGAAAATACTTCAAGACCTGTATAAAGTGAATTAATTCTGACTATATTCCCATCTTTAGAAAGAGATTGCAATGAACATGTTGCCAGTGTCTATGCATTATTTAATCTTCCTTGGTGTGTGAGCTGTTCTGAAGCTTTTGGAGGCATTCTTACATGAACCAGATAGAGCTTTCATGTTTGAGACTCTATGAATGGTCCTAGTTTACTAAGGAGGAACATTTTTTTTTTTTCTACTTTTTTATTATTATTGTTATATTGAATGCGTGTATAAAACTGGAATGATTTAACAGATAAACATCTTGTTATGGAAAATTATGGTGGGAAAACATTGGTGAAAACATTCTCCCCAGAGCTGCTTAACTTTGGTGAATTTCAGTAGATCTTTAATTAGATTGTATCTAGAGAAAAAGGTAATAAGTGGGACCTAACAAGACAGGAATTAGAAAGATTTTTCAGTGTAAAATGTCTCCTTATGAATCTAATCTGAATTGATACTGGCGTAGAGTATGTAACTTCTATTGGCAGAAATACTAATATTAACCCATAAAATCTTGAATTGTGTAGAGCTTGGCTACCACTAGCTGTAGTACTGTTAAGTCTGGTCAGTAGAATGCCATTAGAGGAACACAAGTTAGAAATATGCTTCTCTGCATCATTTGATTGGATTCCTTTTCATATTTTCATGCTTTTATTCTAGGCAAAAAGGGTGATTTTAAAAAAAAAATATTTATTGTCCTCAAAGATTGTGGAATATTCTGTAAAATAGTGCTGCAAAAGGAGTTGGGTTTACATTTAATTTGATTTAATGTAGTTAACTTTTAACATGTGGGACTAAATGCAGGAGTCAGGTGTGTAGCAGACTTCCTTCCCCGTCTCTTCTATCTCTCAGTGTAAGACCTGAGAAGAAACTGCAGTGACTACCAGCCAGTTGAAATAGATGAACTTTGAGTTCAGACAGGCTTGCCATCCGCTAGTTACAGTAACTGAACCTGAGGAAGTGAGATTTGCTGCCTCTTAAATGCCACAACTATATCACGTCTTCCTTTTGCGGCCTGAATTCCTTGTGTAAGTAAGGTGTAGGTGGGAGAACACCCGTGGGGCATCCTGCCTGCCTCTGCCTGACCCTGTCCTGTCTCTGTTCTGTTTGTAAACTGACCTGTTGCCATGGCAGTGTTGTGACATCACCTGTTCAATGTTGCACCTTCAGTGCAGGGTTTGGTAGGAGAGAAAGGGAGCCGAAGAGAACCAAGCTCTTGTTTCAAAACACACACCTTCCGTTATGACTAAGTGTGCCAAGAAATATGGAAAAGCAACTGTCAGGTAATTGCATTTTTATATAGCAGATATATTTGGAAGCTTTCTCTGTGGAGTTTAAACTCATAGTTTAAATTGAGGGTCAGGGAGTTGCTTGTTCTTCGATGAAACTTACCCTACTTTTAAACCTGCAAAACGAGAAGAATTGTTGTGGGTCTTGAGCAGTGAGTAGTTTACAGACAATTCAAGCATAGATCCCAGCCAGGGGTCGGTATCTCAGAAGGTTCAAGAGGGCTGTAGCAGCACATGGCTGCTGGTCAGCTTGAGCCTTGTCCGGTGAGAGACGTGAGGCTCGAGGGACCTTCTGCGGGCAATGCTGGTGGGCCACTCTGGAGCGCTGTGCTCCCAGCCCCGCTGCTGATGCTGCTCGGCACCCCGGGATTCTGTGCTTGTCTTCTCATGAACTCTTGTGCATGACAACTGTTTCCAGAACTGCCCCTCCTTGCAGCTTTCCAAAGTACTTGTTTTAGAGCTTCTGGCTATATGAATGAATATTTTAATATGGGGGAATGGGAAGAAAGGACTTCAGTTAATCTGATAGTTTTGAGAGAAATCTATTTATTTTCTGTTGGTTGGTAGTTGTCTGCTCCAAATATAAAATAGTCTGGAATTGCTGTTTTCTCCCTAGGTGCCTGATATACCTCTCTGTACTGCATTATTTAGATGTGTATGTACTTAACTTTTAGACAGATGACCATGGAAATGGTTGAATCACAACAGGATGACAATGCAGTGGATTCTGTGCCAGAGAGAGAGGCTGGTCACCTTCAGAATCAGCCAGGCCGAAGTCACATTTCCCCAGTATCTGAGGTAAGTTGAAATGTGGAAAGATGAGAAGAATCAGTAAAGCGATATTCGGAACTGCTGTGATTTTTAAATTACCAATTTGTATGGAGTTCTCATGTTCCATAAGTCTTGTTATTAAATAGGAAAGATACAGCAAAGGTATACTGAAAACTATGCCTGCTGTACTTAACAAAGGGCTAGTATAACATCAGGTCTGTTAAAAGATAACACTTTTAGGAGACCGGGCTTTTCAAAATGATCAGTAGGCAGTTTTTGTTTGGTTTTTTTTCCACTTTTCCAAGATGATTATGTTTGTTATGGAGATGGGAATAGGGTCTTAAAAAGTTGAGGTGGCTGCAAGATCAAACATAGCTAAAACGTGTGTATCTTGAAGATGTGTTGTATAACAAAAATGAAAAATGAATAAAAATAACCATGGTTCTTTCCTAGTTTCAGTTTTTGTACAGAACGTGTTTCATCTTCTTGCAAGTACATTTTTAATGTATGCTTGTTTTGTTTCATCCCTGTGCATCCAATGACAGTGTCTGGAGTTCTAAAAATATACTTTACGTGTTCTGTATGGTAGTCATACCTGGATTCTTCTTTGGCAGTTAATGGATGAAAGATGACATAATAATAATTCTCAAGCATTAAAAATATGCACTGAAATGGTCAGCGCTTGAGAGAAATAGTGTTCTTGCCAGTACTCAGATTTATAGCTTCAGGAAGCTGTATAGACCACTTAGAAGGATCTTCAAAAACCCTGTGTGAAATAAAGGAACTGATTTTAAAAAACATCTTGCAGAATTTCTTCATCATCAGAAGTTACAAGTTACTCGGTAAGATTCCTGTCCGATCTAAGGGAGGGATGCTCAGTTGTTTGATGCCATGTATTTGCAATGTTAGATACTTGATTTACATTATAGGTGTATTTTCAAGACTGAATGCAGCTGCTTTTTGTCGGGTCTTCAGACACAAAGTAGACTGCAAAGTATTTATGAACGCTTATTTTTTGGTTTTATTACCTATGGCATTTGTTGTGGTTTTGATACCTGCAGCATTGGGAATACTGTTTGGTTTTTTTTCTTCAAGAATGAAGCATGAAACCAAGAACTTTGTTGATGTCATCCCCTCATTTCTTCTTTCTTTGATAGTTCTGTTCAAATTTTGTGTTTTAACTTCTTAGGATGATTTATATGTAAAATCTATTGGCTTGTGCAATAGTCTCTGAAGAAAATACCTGTGAATTCTGTCACTTTGAATTTTTAATGTTGACCTAGAGACAAACCTGTGATTGATGATGTAGGAGGCCTTCTGCCAGGTCCCCAGGGAAAACACTTATGTTTATCTGCATTTAATGCTTGAGTACTGTGTGTGAAGCTTCAGCCATACTGGGCATAGGCCTCAGGTCTTTCAGTTAAAACTAGTAACTCTGAAGTACTGATGGATCTCGGTCAGTTAGCACTAAAATGAAACGTGCACTTCAGTTTGAAGGCTCAGGATAATAGTCTGGAGTTTACATCTGGGAGTCCCTCTTTTTGGTCAGACGGCCTAGAGAGCCGGCCTGGACCTGTCAGAGCAGCTCGGCGCTCGTAGCTGGAGTCGATATCCCTCTCCTGGGCCGTCTGGAAAAGTGGGGTTGATGCAATTGTGCCACTCTGAAAAATAGCAAAGCTGAGAGGCCTGCAGCGGACAGGCCTGTCACCTCAGCTGCTGGCAGTGCCACGGGTCTCCTGCCTGGCTGCTCCCCTCACCGCCGCTCCCTGGGGCCTGCAGGCCGCACCGCCACCCTCCCTGCCTGTGGCAGCCGGGAGTCCGCGCCCACCCCCTTGGTGCCTTGAGGCTGAACTGCCACAGCATTTCTTCTGGTAAAACGGGCCCCGACGGGAAGCTTATTGCTGAAGGGCCTTACCGTGACATTTCTTTGGCTTAAGATGAGGAGGACTTTCTTACCTTATGTTCCTACCTGGCAGGCTCTGAAGGTGAGACGCTTTGTCATGGTGAGGGTTAGAGGCGGACGTTGAGAGGTTAACGGCTGCGCGAGGCAGGGACCTCGAGTGGAACATCTCCCGTCTGCTTTTGGTGGGATGGGATGGGAAACTCGGGGTGTTTCTGAGGAATTCACAGCTGTGCCGCTGGTCCAGCGTCTGTGTATTTTGACTGTTACAGAAGGCCACAGATAGCTCCTTCTCCCTCTTTGGCCTCTGGAGGAGCGCAGGTAAGAGAAGACAACCACTTGAAGTGACTGAAATGTACCGTGCACCAACTTCCAATTACCTCTCCTTCTAATTTTCTTGCAAATGTGCAGAAATATGAGAAAAGAATGACTTGGTTCTTACCAAGAGGTGAAATGCCTTGTCATTGAAACCGAGGGCTCCTTTTCATACATCTCTGTGGGTTTTTTGTTTGGGTTTTTTTCAGCCAAATATTTGTTCAACCTTGGTTTTGTTCAGTCAGAAGTTAAGCATTTTAATACACTATCTTTTAATAGTCAATTTGTAGTTTTCTGTGTATTATCAAAGAATCGCAGAATGGTTGAGGTTGTCAGGGACCTCTTGAGACCATCTAGTCCAACGCCCCTTGTGCAAGCAGGGTCAGCCAGAGCAGGGTGCCTAGGACCGTGTCCAGTTGGGTTGTGAATATCTCCAAGGATGGAGTCTCTGCAACCTCTCTGGGCACCTGTGCCAGTATTTGACTGCCCTTACAGTAAAAAAGGTGGGGTTTTTTTATGTTCAGATGGAATTTCTAATTTGCTCATTTTTTGTTTAATTATGACTTTGGTCAGGGAATGACTAGCAAAATGCTGAGGGATACAACTGCATAGGAGGTGGGTTTTTTGTGGGGTTTGTTGTGGGTTTCCTTTTTTTCTCCTCTGGAGTTCAGGGTTTTTAAAGAAATTCCTGCCATTTAGTTTTAAAAAGGCAGACAAGGTATTCAGTAAGGTGATAATCTCTAGAGGGCAGACATTGTTTTGTGCTGAAGCATTCTTAATGTCTTCCCTATTGGGAGGGAGGGGAGACATTAAGAATGTCTGGGCTGGAGCACTATGGTGTGATGGGATACCTCCAATGCTAAGGAGGACCTATTATACATTATTAGTAGACAAAAGATAGTTTGGGTTTTTTCCTTCCCCCTAGCTTGTGTAATAGATACTGCTATATACTCCTGCAATTTTTTGGTGATGAAAGTAAAATTACTTTTTCTGCAAAAGCAAAAATTAGTAAATTAGAAACTAGCAAAAATGAGATGCATCTTTCATCCATTGCAGCAAAATTGACAGTTTCTGTCTTTAAAGGGTTATTTTTTAAATAAAATTAATGTAGAATAACATTGCATTTATAGTTGAATTTCTTGCATCCCTCGCTTTCAGTTAATGAATTGACAGGGTATTGTTTTGGTGATCCAGCCACCAAAAGAATTAGGTAAGAAAATATTAATTTGTAAAAATTTTGGTGGTTATCTTTAGAAGCTGTTGGAAGTGTACAAGGCACCTGTACAGAAGCTTGACCCCTTTTCTTCAGGGAAGAACAAAGGTGCAAGGTGGAAAATTTTTCAGCCTGTTTTGAGATGGGCTCCATGGGTTCTGTCTCACATGCACAGATCTTGTATTAATACATATAGGGTTGTTCTTAAAAGGAAGTTAATTTGGATTGAAATATTCTGATAATATTTATGATAGTCAAACTTGTATCTTGGAACAGTTACATCTGCATTGGTATTCAAAGAGAAATTAGATGTTCCTTTTGCAGGATTTCTAGAGGCCATATTGCATCCTGTGTTGCCCTGTGCTTAGCTACACTAAATATAACTATAAAAATGTGAAAGCAATTAGACCTTTTTCAGATTTGACAACAATACTTTCAGTTGTGGGTTTTTTTCTTTAATCCTACATCCTTGATGGGTTCTTCTTTGATTCACTTTTTGTAAACTTTGTCATGTTCTCTGTATCTGTAGAGCTGTCTGCTGTTTTGGTCTGAGATACCATCTGTTGACCTCTTGGTGCTGGGCCTGAACTAGACATGGGTCAGGATTTACAATGTGAGAACTGCTATCAGAGGGAGCAGAGGAGGTTTTCCAGAGCCTGGAGTGCATAGCCATTGCAAGCTGGGACTCCTCAGTTTTAGCACTTAAGGGGTATTCTTGTGGGCTCTCAGCATGGAACTTTGTGCTAAATCTTGCTCCCCACAGACTGAGCCCTATAGAAGTTTGCCAGGCTGTTGTAAATATGGCTCTAAAACCACCCTGCCAAGTGCAAGTCCAGGACATTTAGCAAAGTTGATGTTAGAGCATTATAAACGTGCAGCCTTTTCACCATTTTGTGCTTTCTCAAGGGTATGCTGTTACAAATGGCTGAAATCAGCCTAACCTTGTCTTCCTTAAAACTATGTGCTTCTTTTTTGGCATTAGCTTTGGAATTGACCAAAACTTCCCTGTCTTCAGCTTTTCCTCATAGAGGGTATTCGGTGTCTGAGTGTGGTGAGTCCTTTGCTTTTTTATCAGGTGAATCCAGGATGGGTTTGCCTTGTCTTTCCCTTTCCCAGAAGTACTTTTCACTTTACTTCTGTAGTCCTTGTAGTGTTTAGAGTCTACTGCAGGGACAGAAATCAGATGGAGCTGTGCACTGCATACTTCAGATCAGCAATATTTTAAGGTGTGAGGGGTTGAATGTAACTTCTGTAGTACTCTGTAGGGAACAGTTATCTGACCTTGGGTGACGAGAGTGTGTACCTCCACAGTGTAACTGTTCAGATGGACAATGCATCTTGAAGTCAGATAACTGATGAGTAACCTCTTTCTCTGAAAGAATGCATGCCTCAGTATGAAGATAGTTCATGATCTTTTTTGCTGGCTACTTTTCTGTCCCCTGTTAGAAGAGGGAGCACTTCTGTTTCCAAACATATGAAGTATGGGACCATATTGCTATGACAGAATGCATGGTTGATATTTGGTGAAGCTATTAGAATTGGTTGTTGCATATCTAAGAGGATAGAACCCAAAAGGACGTTACAACATCTGAAGTCTCTTTGCCGTTGGCAGGGACATAACCCTTACGCTGTTTAATCAGGTGCTTAATGTGTTAAGCTTCCCCTCACCCTCTATGTTCCTGAGTTGCTTCTGTGGATTGTTTCCAGTCATTGTGCCAGACAGCCCTTGAAGTAACGATGTTAAAGGTAGCATTGCTCATCACTGATGTCAGAAAGTAATTTTTTTGCCAAGTCTGTTTCAATCAGCATTTATGCATGATAGCGTCAAAAGGTTCTAGTATTTTGGTTAACACGGGAATATTCAATTTGAAAACAATGTAAAGGGAAATGTGAATCAAAATTCTTTTAATAGTTTCTAATGTTTAACAAAGAGATGCAAAATATGAAGTTGGAAAGTTTTTTTTCAGTGTTAGTTATAGAAAACAAACCTAATACAAAAGAATCACAGATGTTTTAAAGTAAAGTTCATAGGTTACACGTTGTGTAACCTTCGGATATTTGTGGAAACTCATCAAACAGTGATCAGATCAAATTGAGCTGTTTAAAATAGATACAAATGAACAAACAAATCGCTTTTGTTTTGATCCAGTTTTACAATACTACGGTCTCCTCTTTCCTCAACCCTACCCCCCCATTTAATCTCTTATCTGAATTAATGGGGAAAAAACAGTTTCTCTTGTGATATTGTAAACTTTAGTCTAAAAGAGTATTAGCTGAGTGAGGTTTTCTTTTTTTCTTGTGTGGCTATACTGAGTAAGGAGCTTTTAATGAATGTAGTGTTTCTTAATCTTGAGTACTGGATTACTTCCTGATTATATGTGCCTGATCCATTGTGTACTAAAAAGAAATTCATAAACTGTTCACCTTGTACTGTTTTGTGTGTGTTGTACTCAAAGTTCTTTCTGAGACACAGAGTATTGTGTCAGATTGCAGCTCTCACAAAGATAGCAGTAAATCGAAAGGCTTGGTGAAATTGCCTTTGTAATGTTTTGAAAAGTTAGCATGTTTTGTAAACATTTAGACTGCTCCATGCTTTTTCCTTGAAGCTTGGGTTTAGGATGATGTCATCTTTGACATCATACTCTTCAGATCTTCAAGACTTTCTAGATCTCAATCTCAAATATCTATTTCTGATAATAATATTAACATTTGTTTCATAGATTGGGAGGAAGGTTTGTACGTCTTATTTACATGTTGCCATTTAATGCCATTTAAGGAATGATTGTTTCCACTTTGGGGTTAGAAATGCCCTCAATTGTTCTATTTCCTGAAAA